AGAGCCTCCAGCACGGCCTCCGCACAGCCTACAGCACGGCCTCCACACAGCCTCCAGCACGGCCTCCACAGAGCCTCCGCACGGCCACCAGCACAGCCTCCACAGAGCCTCCGCACGGCCTCCAGCACGGCCTCCTGTCCCAGGTGCACAGCCTGCAGGCCGGCTGGGGACGGCTGCACAGGACTCACCTCCAGCTCCTCCGCGGTCACGATGCCGTCGTGGTCAGAGTCGATGAGCTCTTCAAACTCCTTCTTTCTGTCTCTCACCCAGTTGTCGTCCATGTCCTGGCCCTGCTGGTTCTCCACAGTGCCCACGGGCAGGGAGATGAACTCGGGCAGAGAGAGCTGCTTGTCGCCATCCTGATCTGTGAGGCGGGAGCGGGTCAGCTCACACCCGGGACGGGGCTCCCACAGGACCCGCCCGACCTCCCGCCACGACCGGCCCCTGCCGTTGGCCGCCGGGCTGGGCCCCGCCTCACCCAGGTCCCGGACGATCTCCTTCACCATGAACCTGAGCATGCCCCGGCTGTGCTCTGGGTGGAGGAATGACAGGAACTCTGGCTCCGTCAGCAGCAGGTCCGCGGGGGGGGCTGTCCGCCTGGTACCAGCGGTCCTTCAAGTTCTCCAGGACTTCCTGTGCTGAGAGGGGCACAGCCTGTGGGCATCGAGGCAGACAGACGCCCGCACGCAAATCCAGAAAGTTACAAGAGGTGCTGCCTGAACTCAAAGGCCAACCCCCGGGACACAGCTGCCCATGAGACCAGAGTCCCACCCTCCAGGATTCACAGGCTCCCCACACGCAGCCTGGGCCCCCAAGACACAACCCAGACTCCCCACAGGCCGGATCCCCAAAGACATTGCCTAGACCTTCCAAGGTATAACCCAGACCCCCCCACACACAGCCCAGACCCCCAAAGACAGCCTGATCCCCCATCCCAGATCCCCTAATACATGGATGGCCCTGACTCCCCATGGACACAGCCCAGACCCCCAAGACAGAATCTGGACCCTCAAGATATGGCCTGGACCCACTATACATCCCAGGCCCCCCCAACCCAGCCCAGACATCCCAAGACATGGCCTGGACCCCCCACAACCCGGACCTCCCAAGACATGGTCCAGAACCTTCCCGTGGCCCAGACCCCCGCAAGACATAGCTCAGACCCCTTCAGGCCTGGCAGCCCTCAGGATGGGCCAGGGCCTCGCCCCTCACACCTGCAGCTGCCCCCAGGAGGAGTGGAATCACCCAGGCTGAGGCATGCACCCACCAAGGGGGAAGGAAGGCACCCTCTTCCGTTTCCTTCATATGTGACGTCACAGGCAGGAAAAGTTTCTAGAAATGACTGAGATGGGGCTAAGCTGAGCATCCCGGGAACCTCCTGGCTGGGGCGTGGCGCAGCCTCCGTGTGTGTGGCCTTTGCTCTCCCGCTGTGCTCACCCAGCCCCGTCCCCTCTCGCCCCGAGGTCCCCACGCACCCCGAGGGCCTGTCTTGGTCTCCAGGGCAGAAACACCACCTCACCATGGTCAGTGGCTCAGCCCAGCGAGGGAGGCCCGGCTACAAACCCGGCAGCCTCTGGGTAACGGTCGCTGCAGAGGACGAGGCCCAGCTGCCATCACATCGTAACCCTCTGAACCACCTCCTGCTACGTGACAAGTTCACTAAAAGGAAGAGGAGAGTGAGGGGCGGCGGATCTGGGATGGATGGAGGAGCAGGCACAGGTGCCTGGAACAGCCGGCCGGGAGGCGCCTTCTCCAGCACAGGATTCTCATAGCCACTCGGGCCCAGCACCGACCTCGGGCCCCGGAGAAGCCGCGGGTCCCAGCACCCCCCTACAAGCTAGGTCTCTGCTGCTGCTGTTAGTAACAGATCTGCAGAGACTGTCCTGGATCAGGGAAGATCAATGACCACTGTCCCTGTGGGAAGGGGACACAGACCCTGGGAGAGGCAGTGGATGGAGGCAGGAGACGGGGTGACGCCCACCTGCCACACCTGCACCACAGCCTCCAGAGTCACGTGAGGACAGCAGCCCAGGATTCATGCCGTGGGCTACACGTGGCCCTTGAAGAAGCCACGCAGGAGAGAGGTGGGAGGTTGCAGGGGAGGTGTCGGAGGTCATGGGGTATGGGGCAGCACCTGCCAGGGCTTCCCAGCATCTCCCTTCAGGACCCAGCAGCTGCTCTTCCTGATCCAAAAGCGAAATACCTGAAGGGCAAAGGGGGTCCTAAGCAGCCTAAGGTCGGGGAGGCAAAGGCGGACCAGACACGGTTGAGCAGGGACAGGCACCTCAGGGTGCACGGGGACCCCCAGAATGCAGAGCAAATTCTAAATACACCTCTGCTGAGCCCAAAAGGAGAACGGCGGCTTCACAGAGATGCCACAAAGCTCTAGGTCCAGGTGGGACGTGTCCTGGGCAGAAGAGACCCAAATAAAACGGCACCCAGGAAAGACAGACACAATAGGAGTCGGGGTGCCAGCGCAGGCACGGGCCTCCCACCCGGCAAATCGCCGGCAGGCTGGACTTGCTGCGCAGAGCTCACCAGCGGGACGAAGGTGAAACGCAGGGCCAATGTGGAGCGCCAATTGGGCACGGTGAGGAAAATGGGAACCACTCTTCAGAAAGGAAACACTACTGTCCAGTGTGGCCGGGGACAGGGGCTCCCAGCACCTAGGAGGCCGAGGTGGGCAGATCCCTTTAGCCAGGGGTTTGAGGCCAGCTTGGCACACAGGGAGATCCTGTCTTTTAGTTTTGGTCTTTTTAATGTCTAATTTGTATGATTTAGAAAGGACAGGACCAAACTCCAGGTGAGCACACACGAACTGGAAGAGGGCAGGCAGAGCCAACAGGCTTGAAAGGTCTCCACGTCATTCTAGAAGGACAGGGCAGGCCACTCACACCCACACCCCGGGGCAGGGGGAGGCTGAGGCGGGCGGGTCACTCACACCCACACCCCAGGACAAAGGGAGGCAGAGGCGGCGGGTCACTTAAACCCTCTCAAACCCCAAGAGTTGGAGACCTGCCTAGGTGACATGGGGTGACCGCATGTCTACAAAAAATACGTATTTTAAAATCAGCTGGGCCTGATGGCACCCACCGGTGGTCCCAGTTACTCAGGAGGCCGCCCCCATGGGGGCTGGTCACATGATATGGACCATTCCTGGCAGGGACCCGTCTTATAACTTTATTTTTCTATTCTCCTAGGAGAACAGATTGAACCCAAGATGTGGAGATCACAGTGAGCTGACATCGTGCCACTGCACTGCAGCCTGGGCAAAAGTGAGACCCTCCCTCCAAAACGGTAACAAGCTAAAAACTAAAAAAAGAGTCAGTTAAGCCTAGGTGCAGTGGCTCACGCCTGTAATCCCAGCACTTTGGGAGGCTGAGGTGGGCAGATCACTTGAAGCCAGGAGTTTGAGACCAGCCTGGCCAACATGGCAAAATCTGTCTGTAAAAAAAAATTTAAAAATTAGCCAGGCAGGGTGGTGGGCGCCTGTGGTCCCAGCTACCTGGAAGGCTGGGGTGGGAGGCTCACCTCAGCCTGGGAAGTCACGGCCGCAGTGAGCCAAGATTGCGCCACGGCACTCCAGGCTGGGTAAGAGAGACAGTCTCACTAAAAAAGAGAGGTTAAGAGGTGGTTTGACGTCAGCCCCTAGTAAGGAAACGTCTGACAGGCTGAGCAGGCACAAAACATAAAGGTGTAAGATAGCCCAGCCTGCAAGGAACGGCCGCGTATCAGGTCACCAGTCCCGTGGGGACCCAGGTGCCATGCAGGACAGCAGAGACACCACCCCACGAACCAGAGCGGTGATGGAACTGGCAGGCACCTCCTCAGACTCCCCGCAAAGTCCCAAACCAAACCAGAAAGTGAGCGTGCCGGGTAAGGGCACACAGAGCCCCAGGGGAGTGGCAACCGTGGTACCCGCTCCGCTGTGCACCACCACGGCACTGGCAGGGCTGCTGCCTGGACAGCTCTCCTGGAACTGGCCCTGTGCAGGGTGGTGGGCTCTCCTCTCACCCGCCCTTAACCCAGGTGCCAGGCCCCACCTCGCTCCACCCTCTTCACACAGAGGTGCCAGCTCGGACCCAGCCAGGGCTGAGGATGCCCTGCAGGCCAACGGCCGTGCCCCCGACACAAAGAAGAGCCTCTCCCTGGGACCTGACCACTTCCCCGGTGAGCACCTGGTGGCCACACAGGTGTCTCAGCAGACCCCAGACCCCAGACCCCAGGGCCAGGCCCTCAGACACAGGCCGTTCCCTCTCCCTGGGAAACCCCGCCTCACGTGGCCTTCAGAGCATCAGGCAGGGCCCAGACTCACGGCCTCAGGTTCTCTGTAGGAGCTAACTGGATAACCGCCACGATGGTGTCGTGACCAGCAGAGAGTGTGCTGAGAGCGGCCGGGCACGGCTCACATGCTCCCCACCTGACCCCTGGGCGCCGCCTGGGCCAGCAATGGCTTCTTCCCTCCTCACGGCCACCACCACCCATGTGGGGATACACAGGACACGCCTGCACATGTGCATACACAATGGGCGTGATGCAGACACGTGTGCAGATTTACCACACGTACCCACCAGCACACGGCTCACTCACCTGCATGTATACCGATGAGCACACGGCACACTCATGTACCCACGAGCACACGCACACTCACCGCATGTACCCACGAGCACACGGCTCACTCACCTGCACGTGTGTAACCACAAGCACATGGCACACTCACCTGCATGTGCCCGCGAGCACACGGCTCACTCGCCTGCACGTGTGTAACCACAAGCACATGGCACACTCACCTGCATGTGTACCCACGAGCACACGGCGCATGCACGTACCTACGAGCACACGGCACACTCACCCGCACGTGTGTACCCACAAGCACATGGCTCACTCACCCCATGTGCCCGCGAGCACACGGCTCACTCGCCTGCACGTGTGTACCCACGAACGCACGGCACACTTACCTGCATGTACCCACAAGCACACGGCACACTCACCTGCACGTGTACCCACCAGCACACGGCACGCTCACCTGCACGTGTACCCACCAGCACACGGCACGCTCACCTGCACGTGTACCCACCAGCACACGGCACGCTCACCTGCACGTGTACCCACCAGCACATGGCATGCTCACCTGCACGTGTATACCCACGAGCGCATTCACTCACCTGTACGTATGTACCCACAAGCATACGGCACACCCACCTGCATGTACCCACGAGCACATACACACTCACCTGCATGTACCCACGAGCACACGGCACACTCACCTGCATGTACCCATGAGCACACACACAGTCACCTGCATGTACCCACGAGCATATGCACACTGACCGCATGTACCCATAAGCACACGCACTCACCTGCATATATGTACCCACAAGCACATGGCACACCCACCACATGTACCCACGAGCACACACACTCACCTGCATGTACCCACGAGCACACGGCACACCCACCACACGTACCCACGAGCACACACACTCACCCGCATGTACCCCCGAGCACACGGCACACCCACCGCATGTACCCACGAGCACACGCACATGGTGCACTCACATACACACAACACGCACGCAGGAGATGCCTGAGACCCGTGTGGCAGGAGCCCGGTGAGCACTCACTTTCCTCGTCCACTTTGAGCTCCTCGTTGAGTCTGATGGCGTCGGCGACCTCCTTCTCGCTGTGACCTTTACTCGCCAAAAACCTCACTTTGTACTCGTCCCATGACACGTGGCCTGGAAGAGCAGGTCATACCTGTCAGGACGTCTGACACTGAGCTCAGCTGCCTTTTCAGCGGAGACGGGGTCTCGCTCTGCTGCCCAGGCTGGAGGCAGCAGGATGCCAGTGTCTGGAGCCCTGGGGCCCAGGCCAGCAGCCCGTGCCCGCCTCCTCACCTGTGAAGCCAGCTGGGAATGTCTGTGCCCAGGGCCACTGAGAGCCACAGGCAGCACCAAGTCCTGAGCGGCGCCTTCCGTGGCCACGCCCAGTGCTCAGTGCACATTTTCCTCACCAAGCCTCGGGCATCAGGAACCCAGCTTCCGCATACCCCAGTGTACCCCACCACACCTCGGGCCTCCAGCTGACACTTCCCCACTGCCCTTCCCTCAGACCAGGCCCGTCTGCCCTCCAGGTCCCCGGCAAGGCCCACGGCCCTGCCTGCCCTACCCGCCCTGCCCGCCAGCCTGGCTGCGGTACCGTCCCCGTCGGGGTCCACGGCTCGGAAGTGCATCTTGCTCTCCTCCATGGCCTCCTGGAAGTGCTCGGCCGTCTTCTCCATGATCCAGCGCTGCATCTCCTTGGCGCTGATCTTCCGGTCGCTGTTCACATCTACCCTGCAGGCAGCACGTGGGCAGGCGGCCATCAGACTGGCCCCAGGACTCCACGTAGTGTGAACCCATCCCCAACAGCGAAGGCTCCCTGGAGCGCCACGAGAAGTGTCCGGGACATGGGGGCTCGTGGAGGCTGGGGCCGTGCCAGACACACTGGGGAAGGTGGTGCCACAGTCCCCGCCCCGGGGAGACACAGGGCACTGGGGAGGTGGGTGCCACAGTCCCCGCCCCGGGGAGACACAGGACACTGGGGGAGGTGGGTGCCACAGTCCCCGCCCCGGGGAGACACAGGACACTGGGGGAGGTGGTGCCACAGTCCTCGCCCCGGGGAGACACAGGGACCCTCCCACTCCGTCACAAGTACAGAATCACTGCCAGATCCCTCTCTCCAACGGCTCCGGCTTCACTTTTATTTATTCATTGAAACGGAGTCTCACTCTGTCACTGGGCTGGAGTGCAGTGGCACAATCTCGGCTCACGGCAACCTCTGCCTCCCGGGTTAAGGGATTCTCCCACCTCAGCCTCCCAAGTAGCTGGGATTATAGGTGTGCGCCACCACACCCAGCTAATTTTTGTATTTTTAGTTTAAATGGGGTGTCACCACATTGGCCAGGCTGGTCTTGAACTCCTGACCTCAAGTGATTCCACCCACCTCGGCCTCCCAAAGTGCTGGGATTACAGGTGGAGCCACTGGGCCGGGCCCACGTTTTATTTTAGATGCTTCAGGTAGGCCAGATGCCGTGGCTGAGAGGCCGAGACGGGCGGATCACTTGAGCCCAACAGTTCAAGACCCGCCTGGGCGACACAGGGAGGCCTCATCTCTCCAAAAAGCAATTACAAAACCTCGCCAGGTGCAGTGACAGCGACCTGTGGTCTCAGCTACTCAAGAGGCTGAGGTGGGAGGACTGCCTGCACCTGGGACGTGGAGGCCGCAGTGAGCTGTGATGGTGCCACTGCGGCCTGGGCGACCGAGACCCCAACTCAAAACAACACAACACAAAATCCTTCCTTCATATACGTGTAAAGTTACAAGACTTAGGAGGAAGACCATGTGGGGACTTGGCACTGTGTCCAAGGATGGAAGAAACCACAGACTTGGGGAACCAGGACACAGAACGGAGACGGCGGCAAGCACAGGCCAGGAGGCCACTTGGTCCCAGCCTCACAGAGCTCAGCTTCAACGTCACATGCCTCCCAAGCTCGAGCTCACCTGCTGGAAACTCAATCCCCAGGGCAGCAGCGCTGGGAGGCGGAGCTCTGAGAGGGGAGGGGTCTCCGGGGCTGGGCTGGTGCACTTGCCAGAGGCATCCCAAGAGGAGGGTGCCCCGGCCCCTCGCCAGGCGTGTGTGGTCGGGGACCTGGGCCAGGTCAGCTTCATGGTACCGAGCTCTGGCCCCCGAGAGGGCAAGGGGAAGACCCCCAGCACCCAGACCCCAGCTTCCAGCTCCGGCCAGGGGCCAGGGCTCACTGGAAAGGCGGCTGCTGTGCACGGGGCAGGTGCAGGCCAGCCTGGAGCATCTCACGGTGCCAGGAAGCAGGGAGGCAAAGTGAGCTCAAAAGCCAAAGACACAAGAGCCACAGCTCCCGACAGCCAAAGCCGACGCCGCACAAGCAGCACAATCAGTAGTGCTGGGCCCAAAGCATGCAGCAAAGTCCACGCCACAGGACGCAAACCCACGAGGGGCTGGGCGCTGTGGCCACCCCTGTGGTTTCAGCACTGTGGGAGGCTGAGGCGGGAGGATCACTCGAGCCCAGGAATTCGAGGCCAACCTGGGCAACATAGCGAGACCCTGTCTCTACAAAACAATTTAGAAGTTGGCTGGGTGTGGTGGTGCACACCTGTGATCCCAGCTACTTAAGACGCTGAGGCAGGAGAATCGCTTGAGCCCAGGAGCTGGAGGCTGCAGTGAGCTGAGATCCCACCACTGCACTCCAACCTGGGCGACAGAGCGAGACCTCAAAGCAAACACAGACACAAAAACAAATGGAGCCCAGACTGAAAGGTAAATGCACAGGGAACAGAAAACCACAGAGTCCACGTGGCTGTGACACTCGGCCCACGGGAGGGGGCATCACCGGGACCCGGTCCCGGACGCCAGGGAGGGAGGGGCGGGGACACGGATAGAGACAGCTCCTCAGGGAGCCGCCCACAGATGCCCTGCTCAGGTCACCCAGGTCAGCATCCCCAGGGGTGCCACGTGGTGTCCGGGACCCCCTAGGACAGGGCACCTCCCCTCTGGGTGTTCTTTCCAAATCCCTCAGCTCCGTCCAGTCAGGAAGAAACACACCCCACGAGCCCAAAGGGGGACACCCTAGAACCTCCTGTGCAGCCCTCCTCGGCACTGTTACGTCCACCAAGAAACGGGGGAGTCTCAGATGCCGTCCCTGCCCAGAGGAGGCAGAGGAGACCGGACGGCTGAGTGAACGTAGGTCCTGGCGGTACGGGGCCTGCACAGAAAGAGGGCGAGAAGGGAACCCCGTGCTCAGGAGTGAAGTCACTGCTCAGTGCTCGTGTCAGGGAGACCCACTGCTTTTCCCACTCCCCGCACCCCCCTCCTCAAACGTGATGGATCAGCATCTCCTTACAGGTAACAAAAAGAAACGCCGGTCCTGCTGGAGACGTACTGAGCAGATGCCTCGACTCCCCTCGCCAGGCGGGCAGCCCACTCCCAGCACCGCGCGGGCAGGGACGCCCCCCACCACCCGCCCAGTGACACCCGAGCCAGGCCTTTGTGAGATCATGGGTGGTGATGCTGACAGACCCGGGGAGCACCAGCAGCCTCTACTGAGTAAACACAGGCCACACATAGAACCCTGAATCATGCCATCTGGGGAGAGGGGCAAAGGGACGCCATGCCCAGTGCCCAGGTCCTGCGGCTGGCACCACGCCTCCCTCCCACCAGCTCACCTGTGCTCCGCCCAAAAGCCTGGATCCTCAGCCCAGGTCCCTGGCACAGCCAGGCCCACCCCAGCCCTCAGCCGGGCCCCTCCCCACCCTCAGCAGGGCCCCGACACGGGCCAACCCTCACTCCTTCCCTACCTGCACCTGCTTCCCTGGGCCCCAGCCCTGCCCAACCCCCTGGCTCACCAGCTCTGCCACCTGCCCCTCTGCACATTGGCCCTGGAGCACCAGGCTCTGCAGAACAGTGAGGCCGGGGCTGCCTCCATATGTCCTGCAGGCCCCAGAAACCCCATGGTGTTCTCTCACCTGCACCCTGGCTCCCTGCCCAGCACTTCAGCTGGCCTGGAGGACTTGAGGGCATGTCCTGACCCTGCTCTGTGGCCAGGCATCCTCCAGGGGTGAGGCCAGCACTGAGTGCGTGTGGGTTCCAGGGCCACCCCGCAGGGCACCCCGGCTCTGCCGGAGGACCTGGCTCTGGGGGTGACTGGTCAGGTTGACCCATCTTGGGCCCCTTATACCAGGCTCCTGAGACTGGGGGACGTGGTCGGGGAGAAAGCTCAGCACTAGGCACAGAGACAGCAAGAGGAGCTTGGGGACTCAGCAGGGCAGGGGCGGTGACAGCCCAGGATGGCCACAGGCGCAGCACAGCTCTGCTCCTGACCAGGCCAGCAAAACAAGCCAACCCCACACTCCCCACGTCTGCGTGTGACACGCTCCCCACCCGCGTGTGGCAGGGACTGCAGACACCCAGGGTAGAGGGCGTGCCAGGAGGAGCCCAGTGCTCAAGGCACCAGCTCTCCAGCTGCCCGTGGCTGCCCCTTGCACCTCAGCCAGGCCTTGTCTAGCTGGTGCTGCCGCCTGCAGAGGCTGCCCGTCTGCCCCTCAGCACAGAGGACGCTGACCACATGGTGCCGGTGGGCGCCTGCTGCTGCTATCCTAGGGATGGCCAAACAGGCTGACTCTGGCCTCTCAGCCCCAGAGGACCCAGGGCATTCGAGGAGCAGCTCCAGGCTGCCAGCACAGGCCCTGGTGCAAACAGCAGGCTGGGAGTGCCACTGATCATGGGCACGACTTGCCAGCCCGGCAGGTCCCAACGCAGGGCCCAGCGCCCCCCACCACGCAGAGCTGGGATGGGCCCACGCGGGCGACGCCTACTTGGAAAAGATGACCATCAGCTTCCTCCGGCTCCGCCGTGGCTCCGTGTCCTCGTCGAAGCCCCCCAGGTCTTTGCCCAGGAAGACCTCTTGGTGGAAGTCCCGGTTGAGGTGCCCGTCCATCTCCAGCTTCACGCCGTTCAGGTGGTCCGGGGGCAGAATCTCATTCTCCTCCCTGTTGGCCGCTCTATCCCGAGTGGACGTGTGGTTGGCGGGTCTCGCAGACGCGTCCATCAGAAGGACCGCCCCCAGGAGCCAGAGGCAGCGCGGAGCCAGGCCCACCAGGGGACCCCACCTGGACGCCATCGCCACCCAGGGCCGGGTGCTGGGAGGGGCAGGGGCAGGGGCAGAGGAGGATGTGAGGTCTGGCTCCAGTCCAAGCTCCAGGCACTGAAGAGGGCTGTGTCCCCACAACAGCCACAGGCTGTGGAAGCCCACAGGGCGAGCAGCTCACGGTCTGCGGAGAAGACAGACACGTCATTAGTGAGACTTCGTGTGCCCTGAGCACATCCATTCCGCAACAGGAAACACATCCTTGGTTTACAGGCTCCAGACCACACAACGCATCTTTCTCTCGTCTGCGAGTTCTTTCTTTTTTTTTTTTTTTTTTTTTTTTGGAAACAGGGTCTTGGTCTGTCGCCCAGGCTGGAGTATGGTGGTGATCACAGCTCACCGAGATCTCCAACCCCTGGGCTCAGGCGATCCTCCTGCCTCAGCCACCCAAGCAGCTGGGACCACAGGCATGCACCCCCACACCCGGCCAACTTATTATTATTTTATGTTTTGAAGGGACAGGTCTTGATGTACTGCCCAGGCTGGTCTCAAACTCCCGGCTTCAAGCGATCCTCTTGCCTCAGCCTCCCAAGGTGCTGGGATTACAGGCGTGAGCCGCTGCACCTGCTCTTTTTACCCTTTTTACAGACACTGAGTTTCCAACTCCATCTCTCCACATGGTTTCACCCTGTTGGCCAGGCTGGTCTCACACTCCTGACCTCAAGCGATCCTCCCACCTCAGCATCCCAAAGTCCTGGGACTACGGATGTGAGCCATGGGTACCTGGCCTGATTTTGTCTTTTTTTTTTTTTTTTC